GTTACTTTCACCATTCTTTTATTTTCTGTACTTAAATAAATGCTTAATTTAATAAGAATTATTTTTTATAAGTGTTCATGTGAAAATCTACGAAGTCCAGCAAGAAACTCATGGTTTGACACAACAAAGATTAGTATAATTATGACAATCCTTCAGAATTTTATGAGGGGAACAGATTGATTATACTTCATATATTGCACTAACCCGACTAATGTCTCTTGATAATGTATGAATTTCAGAAAGTATCTCAGTATGTTAGGCATTCACAAACAGAAACCAAGGCCTATGTCGTTGACCTAAGGCACTATTCCAGACAGAATGTTTCTTGGAAAGCATGAAATACAAAAGAGCTAAACGGTGCTTTGCTAAGCATTGGCAACATTGTCTTCTACTTTTTAATCTGCTTTATCATTGTGTGAAATGGATTTCTCAATGCTTTAGAAACAACCACATATGCAAAGTCCAGAAAATAAACTTTGGAAAAGCACAGATAGGAGCAGTATAGACACACATTCCACATCCCATTACGAAAGAAGCTGACAAATAGGCAGACACGACAATTTTGACAGATGTAGTACTAGCAGTAAGGAATGACAAAAAGCATCTGTGTAACAAAATAAAGCTTTTCAAAATGTGAAGGTAATTCTGAATACAATGCAGGTACAGAAGAGACAATGAAATTCAGAAAATAATGCATGAAAGCTATTTTTTAGTATCAATTAGCTTCCTGTATGGACTGATGGCTAACAACATGGAATAACAGAAAGATGGAGAGGAAACTGTTGCAGAATAGGAGCTGTCCTTGTGAATGTGAAACCCCGGTAAGAAGTTAAATATTAAAGCTACTGCCCTACAAATTATGTCAAGTATGTCCTTAGTATTGGACGTAACAGGAATGGAAAAATAGCACATCTAAGTGAAAAGGAAGAAATTTAGTAGCTATCATATAGTGACATACTCAGATTTTGTCACATTACATTGGAGCTCCAAGCAGGTTTCAAAACCAACAGGGCACTTAGACCTTGGAAACATGACAGCTTTTGAAAACAGCAAGTTTCATGGCATCAAGCATCAGGTTCTCATCTACATACTCAACCGAGGTGACACCCAATAGAGAGACTCTCAGTGTAATGGCTGTAATGAACTTGTTATGTTGGATTCTCAGTACTGTAAAACAGAGGTGGGAAAATCTGAGAGGAACTGTTCCCTTGGTAATGTCATCATGGCACGATAATGCAGAAAAATTATATAGGATATTACATATCTCTTTTGTATCAGGGCTCACACTGGATTTAGATGACACAGGTAAAGCCAGCAAACTGGTTAATAAAGCAGCAGGCCATACACACCTATCTAGCTATGCTGCTAGTCACAATCACCTTTGGTTATAAAACACTTTGGGGCTCAGACATGAGGCTCCTATTGCCACTTGATTCGGATTTAAAAGCATTTACCTATGCAATTCACTGCAATACTGGCACTGCACCTTTGGTGCTGGTGGAACTGATCAAGTACTTTCACTGTATAGCAGCGATCAGCACCTGTTCTTCTCGAACCCGCAGCAATCCCATGCCTAAGCAATGAGTATATTTGCCCGGGGTCCCTTTTGAGTCATTAGAGATGCTGTTCCTTTTTATACTCTCAGAATCTTTTACAAGAGGACGCAAATGATTACAGAAAGATATTTTTCTCCAAGACATTCTGAATCTTAGTTCAGAGATTTCCCATATGATCTTATATGCAAAAAACACTTAAAGAAGAAATTATCTTTGTTCAGCTTAAACTTAACACAGCACACAATTGATTAACCATCTTTACAACACTGCTCAACCCATCAGAAATCTGGATCTTGAAACTTTCGCAAATAAGCAGTTTTAAGGCTGATACATAAAAACTATGACACAAAATAGGAGAGCAATTTTTCAACACAAAAGTGAAATTTCTTCAGCTACTTGCTTTGATGAACAGACAAGTCAAAATACTTTAATCATTAACACTGATTGCACAATCACTGCTACTGTCCAATATCTAGTTTTTAAATGTGAGTCTATTCTGAAATAATTCTTAAATTCCTGAAAGACTTCTCAATTTCTTCAGCTCATGTATCAAGAACAAGACCAGAAGATCAGCAGTATTAATGTATTCAAGACTCTAAAGCTAACTATTGTAGTATTCTATCTTAAGTAGGTGTAGTCGGCCCGCGGAGCTCTTTGTAGTCAGCGCGAGGAGGCCTTAGCAGTCAGCGCGCAGAGTTCTTGGACACCAGCCAGACGAGCCAATTATGATGAGGGTAAAAGCCATTTTATTGTGTGTTGCACACTTGCCTTTATACTAAACTCTTTCAGATTTGGCAGCTGATAATTGGATACAACAAGTTTAAATTCTTAACAACAAAGTTACTATTGGCTATTCCAGATCCTGGGAAAGTAATTTTTGCAGTTATGGGAACACAACTTCTACGATAACTTAGCTGTGCTAATAAATTTCTCAGTTCCTCCTTATCTTTCTCACGTCCTGTATAATTAGATACCTCTGCACATCTGGTTATTTTTCTTCTTTCCAAGGATCCTCTAACAACCTTATAATCACAAAGTCTAAAGTTAGTGTCATAGTTAGAATTCCATTTCAACACAAAAACACCCTTACATCTAGGATTCTCTATCAGCCTTACAATTACGAAGTCTAAAATTAATATCGCTAAAATTCTACTTCAGCACAAAATGCCCCTACAGTAGGTACGCCATGTAACTTGTCATTAAATTCAAGGTTAAACATTTACAAGAGAGAGATTAATGTGCAAAGATTTTATATGCATGTAATTAAGAATGAGGTTAAGCTTCATGTGCAAAACAAGTTCACACAATGCTTTTTTTTGTAAACTATGACTGTACCACTTCTCAATCTTGAGGACAGATCCTGTACTGACAGAACTCATTATTACTGAACACTCCAAATACACCCAGAATATCCCAGCTTCAACAAAGTTGTGGACAAGTGTGGGTTGGCAGGATTGTAAGTCTTCAAAGGCACAGCACAAAAATGGCATGATCTGAAAGCTAGACAGTGAATTCTACCTCCTGCAATATATTTTTGCAATTACTTTACTCCAGTAGTGATTGGTTAATTTAAAGCCACAAGAAGAGCATGAAGATGACACGTCAGCAGCATGCATAAATACTGCATAAAGTTTATAAATATATATATAAGTAAAAGTCTTCCAAAATGTATTTATTTCTCAATTTTGCAAAAATTTACACAAGTACCGATGTTATAGCACTGAAATTCAAGAGCCACCTCTCTTTTCTTGTTCTCATATAATAAAGTGACTAAATGTGAGCAAAGGATTTTATCTGAATTTTTATTTATAAGTTTAATTCCTGGAATGAGATACTGTACTTAGGACAGTTATATAAGTAAAGAATTTGATTTTTCTGTGGATATTCTCACAGGAGTTTAATTTCAACCTTTTCCAAAAAGCAGGGAAAATGGAAGTAAATTGGGAAATAAAATCTGGTATATGAAAAAAAGAACTGAAGAAAAACTAATTCCAAAAATGCAACTGGAAAAAAAAATTTCCCCTTGTGTTCTTAGTTTAGAAAACTGCAAAAAAGCCGACATTCATAGAAAAAAGTAGGGTATCTATCTTCTGCAATATTTCTCCCCAACTATGCCTCTTCAAAATTATACGTGTCGTCTAGACTATGACAGTACTTAGGTGTCCACAAAAACACAGGATCACAACTTCACTTTGGTGAATAGGAAAAGACATGCAAAGGATCCAATTAAGTTTATTAAATATTTTGAATTGAATAATTACAGCAGCAGAAATAAGGGGACAGCAGTATCACGACCAAAAAAAAAAAAAAAAGGAAAAAAAAAACAAACCGAAAGGAGTCTGCAGCATCCCAATACAGCAGGTACAACTACTGAGCAACAGTATTCTTGTGATCCACTGCCTAAGGGTCCTAGAGCTTGGGCTGGGGCTGACTCTAAGGACGTTGCAATGTATCCCAACACCAAGTACCTCCTCATGTGACTTGCTCAAAAGAGACAGAGACAATACTCCGCAGCAGCAGTAGCAGGTAGGTGCTGCTGGGAAAGAATACATTACATCCCGATACTTTCAGGTGCCTATTTCTTTCTCCAGCACCTTTTTCTTTGCGATTAACAGCTATACATGTTTTAAAAAAACACACTGCTTACTGCTTTATGCTTCACCTCATGCATGATTCAAAATTCCACCTGATGGAGCAGATTGCAGGAAGGGATGTACCCTGTGTAAACATTATTTAATTGCAGAGAACAATAATTTATTCATAAATAAATGTTGGTCAACATCATCAGATGAAAGTCAGATGCAGTTACTGTTTTGTTTAGCAGCGTAATTGCTTTCGTTGCTCTACTTAGATATTAACATTAAAGCAGAATCTTTTCGCAGAACCTTTGGGGAGCATAATACAAGACATTGAGACTTTCCTAAGAAGTTCTGAAAGTGCTCATCAGTAGGAATCAAGAACCTTCAGAATTTCATAGAATCAAGGCACATCTACCTTTTTTTTCTTATCACATATTTAGAAATACAGGAAACCCAAAGGAAGAGGTATCTGTCTTGAAAGCAATAAAAATCATGACCAAAGCAGAACATAAAACATATTATTTGCACATCATTACACTATTAGATTCTAAGCAATACTAAATTCAGACTCCGAAAGTATACTGAAGTTTAACTACCCTAAGCAATGTCAAATTCAGCTGTACTTGGGATATTTTGCTTGAATATAAGAGCATAGGTATTCTTTAAGAAAGATTTGATTACATATTTCTCCCCAAAATTCTAAAAACTATTCTATTTGTTATCAGTGGTTATTATTTTCACACAGTAGTTATTTTTTCACAGTCATATTTGCACAAACATTAGTTTTAGGATGAACAAACATGACTATCTTCACAAACACTGATACATTAGAACAGTAAAACCGTTGCTTGCATAAATGACATACCACTTCATCTTCAAATCCTCCAGCTAACACAAGTGAATAAGCTCCATCATTACTGCGTCCATGGATTCCACCCACATGTGGTCTGTGCACACCCGCTTCGCTCACCTGGCAACAGAAAAAAGACAGTATCTAGCATTTTTTTTCCAAACAACCAGCCATCTACAGTCATTTTTAACAATCAACTTTTGGCTTAAGATACCGTACAGGGGTATCTGTGGAAGGAGTTAATGTATAGACTGCCATTAGGGGTAAGAATTCCACTTCTTTTTAAGGAAGAAAAGCCAAAAGTAAGGACACCCAAAAAATGGGAGGACAACGTAGGACAGCGGTGACACTGGAAGATGAAAGGTACACTTTCTTCTTTGGGAAAAATCTCCATGATTCCTTCCATAAGCAGTATTTAAGAGTGTACTCACTGCTATACGCCAGTCCATACTTGTACAGTCATTCAGAACAATTCAAAGCGGATGGAAATCTGCCAGTAAGCTAAGATTTTACAATTCTAAACCAAGGGAGATCACAGTGACCTGTGTAAAGATCATTATGTCCACTACTATTAAGGTAACACACTGTAAATGTGACCAACTCAGAGGAGTACTATCATATTGCCTAAGGAAACAGAAGAAGCCATTGCAACCACGTATGGATCATAAGCTAGTTCTCCAACCAGGATAACTCTCTAGTAATGCATGTGCAACTAAGCTGCAACCAGACCAGCTGAGAGATGCAGCTGTACCATAAACTAGGAACATTTACTAAAGCCTACTGGAACATCTCTCCCACAAAAATTTATTTAATAATTGTTTCAAACTAACAAATGATATTTTAAAAAACCCACCCTTTATGAATAAAAAAGAGTCTGCTTATCAAATGACGTATTTTCTCAGTATGTGATGCCAAAAAATACTACTTACAGAATGAAGGCTCCCAGTAGGAAACCAATTAGGATCCTTCCTCCTACCTTCATATCTTCCTTCAGACCTTGACTTTGCCTGTTTTTCTCATTCTGCCCCTCCCACTGCTGAACTCCTTTTCCCAACCTACACTTGTAAGCAACTTCCATGAAAGTTTAAATTCTTCTTTTATAGTCTTGTAAATTCATAACACAATACATCAGATCAAAGGTCCACCTGGCCAAAAATGCTGTCTCTAACAACAGACAAGAGCTGTGCACAGTATGAAAACTATGCAAGGACACTATGACACTTCCTTGCACAATTTCTCAGCATCCAGCTGTTTGTGGTTCAGACTTACTAAATCACTTACAACTTTTGGATCCATAGTATCCAAGAGAGAAAAGACTTCACAGTAGCACTGCTTGTCATATGAACTAATACTACTTTTGTCCATTTTGAAGTGGGCAGCTGACCTTTTTCGATGACCATTTTTTTGCATTAGAGTCCCTAATCACTTTTTTCATACTGTACATTTTGCAGCCATCTACACCACACCAACTATTCAACATTCTTCCAGAATGAAAAACTTTCCAATTGAATGAAAACCATTAAATTCCTTTAATCATCCTGATTGTTGTTCATAATATTTTATTCTTCTGACCCTTTCTTTCACAAAAATGTAACACTGGATTTATTTTTTTGATCACTATTTGGTATTAAGATGACATATTTTCAAAATTAGCTGTTAGAAGATCTCTTTTGTAAATGATAAGTAGCTGAAATCCCATTACAAACTATACAGTTAGAACTGTTCCCCAACCCACGTTTACTATCCACAACTTAGCACTCTCACCTAACTTTATCACCTATTTGACAATTTTTCCAGACCACTTATGATTATGCTGAATAAAAAGGCCCCACTATTGTGCTCCTCTTTCCTGCTGTATCAAACATAACTTAATTAATTCCTCCCTCCCTTCTTTCATTTCCAGGTTTTATCAATTAAATTTAGGTTTCTGATAGGTGATTCACCCCAAAGATGAACTCTGGTAAGTAATTAATGCCAATAATGTTCTTCAGATGCTGTCTCCAGAAGCAATACTTAGTCAACTTCCCTTTAGGGAAAAGAGAGTTTGTGTCATAAAAAACTACGTAAATCAGAAATAAAGAAACTACAGTCTCTAAATTCTTATAGATTTGCTGAGACAAGCTCATTTCTCATACAAAAGACTACTCATATGAGAAATGAAGTGTAATCTAGCTTTCTATGTAGAAAACATTTCAATCATTTTTTTTAAAAAAAGGTACAAAGTATTTAATTTGTACACAAAATTAAGTAATTATGTAGAAATGGTAATTGCCTTTTGATGCCTAGTCCACACATAAATACATAAATCAGCATTCTCTGCTTAATTTTCTGACAAAAGTAGCGCTCTAATTCTGTTCCTTTTCTCCTACCAGGACTAGAAAGATCTGAAAACAGTTAGCTTTTGTGTTACCTATGGAATACCTTATGAAAAGGTGAACTAACAATTTCAATTATTGTTGAAGCAGTGAAAATAAACCTTGATTTTGAGTTTGCATAAGTGATTTTAGAAACTCCTCTTACTTATGAGATTTTACTTAATCTGGAAGCCAACAAAAAGGTAACTATTTATTTTCATTCCTTTCACAAAAAAGTTCTTCATACACAGGAGAGGTCAATGAAATACCACAAAGAATAAGAATTTCCCTTTTAAATAATTTTTCTTTTAAGAAAGTAATTTTGTATAAAATCTCTGGTATAATGAACAGCATAATTTTACATTAAAAATTTAATTCACTTCCTCTACGTAAGTCTTGTATTGATGGTAGTGTTGACAACGGACATCAAGGCGAGAAAGGATCCAAAGAACTAGTTTAGGTTTCAACCGCTTCACTGTGATTTCTGCCCAAGAGAGAAACTGGAAACTGTTGCTAAGGGGAAAATGTCTGCTACTAACCATATCATCCTTAAAACTTGCATGGCCTTCCAAATCCAGAATTCTTCACACAGTACTGGAAGACACCATGATCAGAGGAAAATTGCCTGCTAATTGTTCTCTTCTACCAATTGAATAATAAGACATCTGTTTTCTTCTCATGAGAAAGCAGGTGATGAAAAGTTCAGAAAACAAACCAGAAGAGGCTTTTGATTCTTGGCTTGTGCCTCCTCAAGCAGTTTTAAAAAACCTGTTTCTATTCTTCCAAACACAATGGAAAACATTCAATTGCAATCCTTTACACATGCAAGAGACAAAGAACTAACTGATTTTAAAAATAAAGAAGTCCGTATTTCCCTGACAAAAACAACAATAAAAAAATCAAAGATAAAACAAAAATCAGCACTATCAGGTAAGGCTGGGAAAAAAGGAAGTAAGTTTGCTGTTTGCTGGACACTTCAGAACCACAAAAAATGAGTACTGTCCTATCCTCCCTGCTTTGTTTTTTCCTGCTCCTCTGAGTATTGGCACTGTGCTTATATAACCAAAATATCAAATGGGCTGGGAAAATTAACTCTCCTCCTACCCTAGATGGGATTATTTTTCTGCCAATTTTTTTATCTAGTTTACCATAGAGCCTAACAAATATTTGCAACAGAAAATGAGACAGTGCAAGAAACAGCAAAGGCTGAATGGACAGCTAATTTCAGTAGCAGTACAGGCTTACACTGGTTTAAGCTTTTCATCAGCCTAAAAGAAGATTTGGACGTCCATTATCTATGATCAATAAAACCAAGAGGGATTCAATTTACAGTGATATCATCTAACATTTTCAAAATCTGCAGTCTACATCCCCTAAGTGGGTTAATCAGTTCATGTGAAGTACTCTTCAGAAAACACTTGACTCTATTCACTAAGTATCGCACTTAGAATCTTAACATGAAATTTTTTCATCCTAATGACAACAGACTTCTTATTAAGTTGTACTGTAAAATCAGTATACTTCCACCTTCACTACTATGAGCATCACTTCCAGTATTAGAATCATAATTTGCTTGTCCTTGTGAAAACGGCAATTGTCAATTTAAATTTATTTTACTGCCCTACCCATTCATTATCACTCTTACTTTAACTACAGCTAATGCTGAAACAACATACCTGAACTCTGAACTTCCAGGTTGTCCCAACAGGAACACCAGGTATGGGTCCATAATGATTTGAAGGAACAATAGTGCATTCCTTAGTGCGACCAACACAGGCCATGCCCTAAAAATACATCAGACAAAATGGATTAGTATTGTAAAATTGAAGACTATTTGCAAATTCAATGCAGATATCATGAAATCTGATCATTGCAACAAACACATACTTTAAACAATGTTAACAATTTTTAAAAGGAATGTTAATTAAGTAATATGTGTTTATGGGTTTGGGGGAAGGATTGGGGGTTGGGGTTTTTTTTGTTTTTACCACTAGTCACCTTAATAATTTTTCCACTGCTTTAACTGCCAGTAGATAGTGGGCAGGATTAAACATTTTCTTATTGTCTGTGCAACCCAGTACTGAATTTTGTGTAGTGCATATATAAGTAGAATTATAGATGTAGCACATACATGAACAATCAGAGTTAACGGCTATTTCTAAAACACACTCTACCTTGCCCCAGTCTCTCTGGCTTTCAGTACTGGCAGATGGCATCTTTGCTTTCTTTTTACTCTGTTTGAGCTTTTCTCCAGCCTTTACAACTTCATTAGAATCATTTTTGCAGGAAGGACAATACCTAAAAAAAGGTTTTAGTAAGTTCTCAATTACTTCATAATAATGGCAATACATTTCTTGTAGCCAAAATAGTGTCAATTTGTTTATCTTGACTGAATATTTCAAGCTAGCAAACATATAATAAGTCTTAAGCAGCTGAAGCCTATGGCTTAAAAAATGCACCCAACATGAGCAAATACTGTCAACTTTTAAAAAAGGGCATTTCAATATCTTTGAAGGTAGAGTGCTAGAGGCAAAACATTTGACTATTCTTTCTCACATGACATGTGAGAGGTCCGTATGTCTCCTCTATCCTCTCTTCATTCTGTTCTCTTTCATTTACATCACGTAAAAGAGAAGACAGATGAGGTCAGAGTAGTACTAACCAGTACTTGTGGTTTGTTCCTATGTCCTGCCCACTCTACCTTTTTTTTTTTTTTTTTGCTTCTAGCGCATTCACTGCAGGAAGCTGAAAGTCAAACAGAGCCCAGGTATTATGTAATGTGTGTGGACACTGACACACATACACACACACACATTCACTCACCCCACAGCGCTGAAGCCACTTGGAATACAGCACTGAGACTCCTTCCTGCTAACACAAAGCCACACTGCTAGGCGAGTAGGAGATACTAGTACGCAGTGACAACAGCAGAGAGAGAAGGGGAGTACACTGTCCTTTTGCTGCTTCTAATAACATTTTTATCTCATGCCAGGAAAGCCAATGCAAAAGCAATTGTCCAGGTTTCTGGCTCCCATGGGATGGGTTTGGCCCATACGCCACTAGTGGAGGAAGCCTGATCCATACAAACGCTGATAACCTAGTTTAGGTAACTACCACTAGTACTACTACTACTACTGTTTGGATTTATTAGTTAACTTTTGTATATGGATAAGAATAGAAGAATTAATGATTATTGTCCGCAGGAACAGATTTCACTATGTCAGTAAAGGTGTTGAACCATGAAGACAGTTAAGCTATGCAGGTAAATTAAAAATACTACAACATGCTGAAATTGTCTAACACTGAGACTTCGAATGATATTACAGTTGTTTGAAAAAAAAAAGAAAAGAGTATGTAATGACCAATTAGAAGAAGAAATGTGACATAATGCAAATTCACAAGGTGAATTAACCATGGCATTCCCTGCTTCTTGATAGAGTAACCACATTACCTTCATATTTTCTAAACTTAGTTTTGTAAGGAATATTAAATACTGTTTCACATATGAGTGGTTTATTCTCCACAACAGAAACATCAACCTTTCCCAAACTGCAGGCTTGGCCCCTGCAGAGTTTGACAAATTTTATACTGTAAAAATAATAAATTGACATTTTTCTACCTCTAAAACAAACTAAGTCTCTCAAGAAATTCAGGATCAGACAGCCATGACTCTTTGCTAGTGTGAAAGAAGGGAGAACACAGACCTCCTTTTTGGTAGGAGACACTGCTTTGCTCAATGCAACCGCATTCCTTCTGCATACAATTAAGCATTAAGACTGCACAGGGCTGGCATCACTAAATATCCCAAAATTAACTCTCACACGTCAACTCCATAGCAGTACCTCTCCCACTCAGTGACTTCAGCCACAGATGGAGCTATCTACTTAAATTAATAAATCTTACAACTCGTATTTTTACACAGCAAACAAGTTAAAAAGCTTGACAGCCATTTTTCAATACATTTTAACTATATGAATTAAACTCCTACTACTTGTGGAAATGCATAATTTTTTGTCCAGAAATGTAACCAGAAGGGTCTAGAAGTGCACTTAACATATGACCTGAGGGACTCTGAAGACCATGTTGTCAATCAGTTTAATTCTTGTATGGTTGTCTGTAGACCACTGAATCTTCTGTATGGAGGAAAACAGTCTGAGGGATCTACACAATGTAGTTACAGTGACATTAATAGAAGATGGTACTAATGGCTACACTTTGAAGAAAATCTATTCTTCAAACTTTCTTTGTAGCCCTCTGAAATAGAAGTAGGATAACTCATAAGAATGTTTCATAAGAAGCTTTTGAAAAATAATGGGTGCCAGTGAAGACTAGAACACCAATACCTAATCTGAAAAATCATTTGAAGCACCCAACAGACCAAGATAATCTTAGCACACTAGCTAAACCTAAGGGACACTGATGGCTAGTAAGATTCAGTATCAGTATCCTGACATGATTATCAAACCTTCTGTGTGTTTGAGGGTGTAAAAGAAACTGGAGAGAATAAATTATTTTCAGGGTAGAACAAGGGATTTGAAGGTTTTGTGGGAAGAGTTCACTGACTTGATGCGTATTAATTTTCTTTATCAGAAACTTTCCTGTGACTACTACTGGAAAACACATGGACTTTACTGTTGCTGGAGTACCAGATTAGAGCTGGTTCTGACAGTAAAAAGCAATTAAAGAATGGATGGACCAAACAGATGTGTACTTCCAGACAGATGGTCTCATTGAATATTCTGAATGAATTCAAAAAAGAACTCAGCTGCTATATCCAAAGGTCACCTGCAATCAGGCAACAACACAGCTTTTAGACTGCAGTCAGTAACAAACCACTTGTGTGTTGATAATGGTTTCCAACACATGACATCAACTCACTTTTGTTGACAAGTACTAAGAAGCAAGAAGATGTCATGCACAAAAGACCAGTCTGCCTTGACAGTTCAGACTAACATGCTCTATAATAAACACAGCTCAATAAACACTGTAATCATTTTGCATATGCAAGAAGTGGAAGGCACATATACAATATTCAAATAAATGCTATTTTTAATTCCAATGACCCATACATATTTCTAGTAGCTACTGAAAATATTTTTTAGATAGTGTTTCAAGCCAGCAGTTCCTCCAAAAATAGTGAATACAACTCAGTGCAGAAAATTAGTGGGAAAAAGATCAACTTCCAACAACAGTATCCCAAATGTACACACTGAGAAACACCTATCAATGTTAATGGTCTCAACCACTAAATCACGCATTGGCATAAACACAGAAGGAATTCAGAAAAATTGCAGTGCCCCAAAAAACACTCAGATCATTAGGCACTGACCATCAACCAAACCTACAATGGCATCCACTATGGTATAGGAGATTGAGTTATTTGTTTCCAGAGAATGTTAAAACTTCCACAGCACTTGCACAGATTTTTACATAAAATTTAGTCACAAGGTCCAAAGAGACTCCATAACATATATCTATAGACATCTTAGACATTTATTGATGTCTACGTAATGGAAAACTTTATTAGAATAAAATAATAAATAGAATGCTTATTACTCATTTATAAAGGATTAGCATCTCATGCAAGTCACAGGCAGGTGATAAATATGAGCACTGTAAATTCCAGATAGCTAATAAAGACATAAAATGGTACAGAGCCCAAGATAACTTAATGGGCTGCTAACGGATCCATGCAGATGCACTTCAAAATACAATTATCTTGATTTAACACTTCAAAATACAATTATCTTGATTTAACATTAGCTTGGTTTTCCTGCTGGCAAAACCAGGGACAGTAGAAATGAAGAGCAGCAAGGTGGTTGTCCTCCCACAGCAAGAGAAATGAATGGAGTAGAGGCAACAAGAAGACACAGGAAGGGCACAGGGGCAGCAACAGGGACAGAGGATAAAGGGGAAGAGCAGAAAAGAATAAAAAAAACAAGCAGTAAAGCTTGAACAAAATTAAAAGGCTGGGGAACAACCACTGCTGATAAACACAATCACATCAGATAATGTCACAGAAGGTCATCATGATCACAATGAATAAAAAAAACAAACCAGTTTTGAAAATTCGTAATGGTTATTAAAGCTTACTACCAATCCTTTGTGAATTATTTAAAAGAACTACTTTGACAGGAAACATACAGTTTATATTAAGCACATAGATTAAAAACACAGCAATTTTTTAAAAAAAAACCTTCAGTATTGTCTTTCACAACTGCAAATAACAAAAAAGTACCATGGGTAGAACAGCAATATAGATAAGTAAATAATCTTTGTATATTTACCAATCTTCATCTTCTGGTATCTTGCTTAAGGGAGGGTTCAGGCAGTAGATATGATAAGCCATATTACATTCATCACACAGGAGTTGCATGTGAGCATCCTGTTTTCCACCACACAAATAACATGAACAAAAACGGCACTCCTTATCTGGATCAGCCCTACAGTGCTTGCATTCAGGGCCACTTTTCCCTGCCAAAAACAAAGAAAAAGTCAAATGCCATGTATCTTAGAAGCATTATTGTAACTATAGGAAAAAATTGTTTCTGCACATGAACACTGCCCTCTTGAAAATGCTTTTTTCTTCCAATGAGGTCTTTGGCTATCCAGGTCTTGTGGTTTAACCCTGACTGGTAGCTGCTCACCACACACCCACATTAGAAATGCCATGGAAGTGAATCTGAGCTTAAATTAGTCTAATACAATAACTAATAGAACACTTCCAAACTTCTCTGAAAATAGTATTTTATCTGAAAAAAAAAAAAAAGTAATTGGCTTTAAATCAGAAGGCAAGGAAGACTAAAAAGACTATTTGAAAGTTTGGAGTTGGAAGTAGGAAGCTAGAGAATCCAAAAACCCGAGATAATACAGATAACATTTCTCTTAAAGTTTAGAATGGGCCAGAAAATGTTATTTCAAGCACCATTCTAGAAGAAAAATATAACTACAGCTGGAATACCAACACTTGGGATAACTTTTCTTGTAAGTCCATAGGCAGACTATTAGAAGAACTTCTGAACTCTTTGACAATTTCTATTCAAAAGGGCAACTGGCCTAGAAGGACAGTGTCATAATGACAGATAAACTTATTCCTGTCATAACCTTTGCCAAATATATCCAAGAGTCCTTAGTCATACAAAAAATAACACTTTCATTCTCTGGGACAAAACCTTACTGAATATGTTCACGATGTCACAAACAAGTACATTAATAAAGGATTTGAAGAGCAGCTCCACTACAAATGTGAAAACAATCAACCTCCCCCAAGCCCAAAACCCCTACAGCCCTTCAAAGGCAGCATGAACATCAGATTCTTCCACAGGTACTAAGCAGACAGACTATTACACAAAAAGAGAAGGGCACAAGCAACAAAAAATAACATCTAAGAAAACACTGCCTGTTACCACAAACACAGAGAACTACCCCAGGTTTCTATGACTAGCATGACAGAACAACACTCAAGGACAAGCTTCCATCTTCTCTCAGCTTTATTTTTTATTTTTCTTCACCATGAGTCATTGTCTAAGTTGATGTCTTCAGAAGCTATATAGCTTATCAGTTCCTGCTAAGTTACTTTACTTGGATAACATAACCAACAAAGCAAATATTTATTTTAGGATTTGATTCTTGAATAGAAAGATGAGGTGGACCCCTGACATATCCAGAGGAGTTCTGGATACTTTTGCATTTTTCCTAAGCATACTGAGAAAGAAAGTAATGACTAAGGTTTTGCAGAAATCCCAGCCCCTTCCTAAAAATGCCCTCCCAACTGAATTGACTCTACAGAAGATTTCATCCACATGGATAAGATACCAGTGTAAAATCTCTGTGAAGAGAAACTCCAGACTGGAAGTCTTACAAGCAAGGGGGACTGGAATGCCAAGTGTTGTGCTATATCTGCAGTCTTTCTGAAGGACCTTGAAGAATATTTTTATTTTCAAAGGTGGAAGCAACTAGACTTAGAGAGGGAAGAGGATGGAGTTTTGAGTAAAAAAGAGCAACTAGGGGCTGCAAATGTATTAGGAACCAACAGGGAAACACCTGTGAAATGTGTCAAAGGAATCACAGCTTTTTCCTCTAAAAAGGTGACATGGTTGATAGCCCAACTGAAATGTCTCTACACTAACACACACAGCATGGCTAACAAACAGGAGAAAATGTCTTCTATGGACAGATTGCAGAGAGTTGTCTTTGAAAAACAGTGATGAAGAGGTTGAGATCTTGTAGGTAAAAATTAGAGGCCAAGCCAACAAAGGAAGCCCCATGGTTGGTGTTTATAACTGGCCACCTCATCAAGGGGAGCCAGTTGACAAGTGTTCTTACTTCAGCTGCAGGAAGCATCATGTTTACAGGCTCTGATCCAGCTGGAGGACTTCAGTCACCCTGACATCTGTTGGAAAAGCAGCACAGCAAGCTGCAAGCAGTCCAGGAGACTCTTGGAGGGCATCAAAGATAATTTCTTAATACAGGTGATAGCCCAGCCAGAAAAGAAGCATGACTGGTCCTGTTGCTTACCAATGTAGACGAACTAGCTGCAGAGGTCAAAATCAGTGGCAGCCTGGGCTGAAGTGATCGTACACTGGTGGAATTCATAATCTTAAGCAATATGGGCCAAACAAAGATTGAAGTCAGGACCCTGAATTTTAGGAAATTGAACTTATAGTTGCTTAAGAAATTAGTGGATGGGAGCCCCTGGGAAACTGCTGTCAGGGACAAAGGAGCAGAATACAGTTTGCAGCTCTTTAAGGATATTATTCTTATAGGACAAGAGGTCTCAATTCCCCTGTGTAAGCAATCAGGCAAGGAGTGCAAAAAACCAGCATGACTGAGTAAGGACCTCCTGGCCAAACTGAAGCATAAGAAGGAAATGCACAGGCAGTAGAACCAGGGACAAGTATAGGGGATGCCCTATAGTATGTCCCCATAAATGAGACAGCAGAACTAGTGACAACTGATATGGAGAAGGCTGAGCTATGGAGCAATTTTCTTTTGCCTGTTTTCACTGGTAATCTCTCTTTCCACGTCTCCCAAGTCCCTGAACTTCAAGGAAAGAACCAAGGGAATGATGTCTCTCCCACTGTTAAGAGGAGATCAGGTCTGATACCATTTGAGGAACCTGAACATACACACATCCATGGGGCCCAATGAGATGCACCCCAGGGTCCTGAGCTAATTGGCTGATGTAGTTGTTAAGCCACTCTCCATCATATCTGAAAAATCACAGCAGTCAGGGAAAGTCCCCAATGACAGGAGAAAATGGAATATCGCAGCCTTTTTCAAAAAGGGTAAAAGGAGGACCCTGGGAACTATTGACCAGTCAGCCTCACCTCAGTGCCCAGTGAGATCACTGAACAGAGACTCCTGGAAGACATGTCAAACCCTATGGAACACAGGGAGGTGCTTAAAGAGAGCCAATCTAGTGGCCCTCTACAATGGACTGAATGCATCAGCTGAGAACTACGGATGTCATTTACCTGGACTTCTCTACGGACTTTGATTTGGTCCCTCACAACATTCTTGCTGATATATTAGAGAGATTATCGGTCTGATGGATGAACGATCAGAATGATAAGGACTCGGCTGGATGGCCACATCCAATGGCTCAATGTCCAAGTGCAAACCAGTAATGTGAGGTCTCCCTCAGGGATCCATACTGGGACAAATACTATTTAATACCTCCATCAATAACATAGATAGTGGGATTGAGTGCACCCTCAACAAGTTTGCAGATGACAAAGGTGAGTGGTGAGGTTGATATACCGGTGGGATGGGATGTCACCCAGAGAGACCTTGACAGGCTTGAGGAGTGGGCCCATGTGAACTTCATGGAGTTCAACAAGACCAAGTAGAAGGTCCTGCACAGGACAATCCCCAATATCAGTACAGGCTAGGAGACGAATGGATTCAGAGCAGCCCTGAAGAGAAGGACTTGGGGATACTGGTGGATGAAAAATTGGATACGAGTTGACAACAGGCACTTGCAGCTCAGAAAGCCAGTCATACCGTGGCTTGCATAGAAAGAAGCATGTCCAGCAGGTCAAAGGGAGGGGATTCTCCCTCTCTACTCTGCTGATGTGAGACCCCACACGGAATACTGAATCCAGTTCAAGAAAGACACGGACCTGTTGGAGCAGGTCCAGGGGAGAGCCATGAAAAGGATCAGATGGATGGAACACCTCTCCTGTGAATAAAGGCTGAGAGAACTGGGTTTGTTCAGCCTGGAGAAGAGAAGGATGCAGGGAGACCTTATTTCAGCCTTTCAGTACTTATAGGGGGCTCGTAAGAAAGACAGGGAAAGACTCTTCAGCAAGGCCTGTAGTAGCAGGACCTATAGTAGCAGGACAAGGAGCAACTGTTTTAAATTGAAATACGGTAGATTTAGATTGGATGCGACAAAGAATTTTTTTATTATGAGAGTGGTGAGACATTGGAACAGGTTGCCCAGAGAAGTTTGAATGCTTCTAGGGATGAGGCATCCACAAGTCAGGTTGTATGGGGCTTTGAGAGACCTGATTTAGTGAAAGATGCAACCACCCATGGCAGGGGGGGTGTGGACTAGAAGATCTTTAAAGATCCCTTACAACTCAAACCACTCTACGATAACAAGTGCTAAAACACTGCAGTTTGAAATTTTTTTTAAGAGAAAAAAACCATAAAAGCTGAAGAACATAAAAGAAGAGCAACTGAAGAGGTAAAACTACCAACTACAGATAGAAGGTCTAGTGAGATGTACTGACTGGAAAACATGAGGACCAAATGTGTAAGGCTACCAGCAGAAGTTATTCTACAAAGCCGCAAAGGCAAGGGTCAGATACACTTAAAACGAAGCCAAAGTCTCTCAAGGTACTGCTTCTACCAAAGTCGAGCTTAGAAGACTTAACTGCATACTATCCAAATGGAAGTCATCTAGTTTAAGACTTCTCTCTCAGGGTTCACTTGAAGAGAAAGCAAACATTGTAAGAGTGCTGATGAATGAATCTGTGGGTTTTCCAGCACAGCTAGGCTAAAGTCATGGTCTGTCTAAGGTGTCAAAACCAATTCAAGTAAGACTGAAAAAATGCCAGGTAACTTGTATTTCCTTTGAAAAAATTTAAGAGTGATGACTGAGCACTCCCTAAAGAAACTCACTCATCCACCTCATCCAATAAATAACAGGCAAAAAGAAACTGTGTATTCTGTTTCTCCTACCACCACAGATTTTTAGGCCTAAATAATTCACTGTTTTCAGTTACAAAACCAGTTTCTTAGGTCAAAGGTTAGTAACATTTTTTTTTAAAAAAAGAGAAAAGCAAAAAATCTACATATTTTAGTTCAGTTAAACAATACCTGGATTTTTTCAACTTTCTTCAATAACAAGCAAACTACAAACTGTCATTTTCATGACATGACTAACTTTTCACATTTCTGCTTTAACCACTTCGTAAGTCAAAGACACTGATTATATCTGCGCTATTGGTCACACAAAGACAGGTCTGTTCACCCCTGCCAACACTGTACAGTTTAGTTGCATATATAATTTCATATTACCTTCTTTTGTGGGAAGAGTTATCTCTTGTTCATAAAATAAATTTGGATTCTGATGGAAGTAATATATGTTGATATCTAGGTCTTATTTCCATTTTACATATAAATATTTGAATTGTATTTACAAGTATGTCGCTTCTTAGTTGTCTAATTTTACAATATTATTTTCTAATAGGTTTATCCACACTCTTTTCCTGGACTGCAGAATTCATATTTCCATTAAATAATTTGAAAATAACTACTTTATTTTTAACTGTAACTACTAAATGTATATTGATATGTCATACATATTTTTATCTAATTTACACTTACAAAACCTAACTAACATATGGCCATGTTCAAGGAATAACAATTTTCTTGCAGAGGTAGCCTACATTGTTTATCTGACTAAGATTATTTCTAGAGTAGGCGTTCTGTCTTTAGGGAAGGACATGGACAGCATTTTAATTTTAGACAAAAATACAGTCAGTGCACTTTCTGACTGTGCTTACAATAATCTCATAGAGTATTTAAGGCCAATTAATTCTTTCAATTTCGCCTGACATTACTGTAACAAAAATCTTCAGCTTTTCATAGCATATAAACTAAGGTAGCTGTGTGTGTGTTTACAGATATATGCATATGTATCCTAAAATTTTAAACAAAAAGTATGAATAGGGATGTAAGTACAGTCCAGAGGTAAAGGGTATACTGTTTACGGTGTACTGCTCAACTGATGTGCACTGTGCATAAGTGAACAAAGGCCAGACAGCTTAACAAAAAATCAGAACCACAAGAACAGAAATGAAAAGGGCAGTGTGGCAAGAAAGCTGGCCTCAGGAAAAAGAGCAGTTCGAAACAATAAATAAGGCTAAATTGCCAGACTGATTAAGTTTTCAGGGTTAGATTTTAAAAGATTATATTTCTGTGTTACATTTATTTATGAAGGTTTGTAAGCAATATCCTGAAATGAATAAAAATGGAACCAAGAACAAAATGAAACAAAACATACACAGACGTGCAAATCTCTACATGGATGGAAATACATGAGTAGATTAAGCAAAGAGGTTACAAATAAGGAAACAGCTGTCAAAATAGAAGTGAAAGAGCTGTAACTGAACTTAAAGACCTTGACTTTGAAATAATAAAGCTTTCAATCAGGGTAGGAAGTACAGAACGGTGAGGCTGCATCTCAAATACTGCGTTCAGTTTTGGGCCCTCACTACAAGAAAGACAATGAGGTGCTGGAGCGCATCCAAAGAAAAGCAACTAAGCTGGTGAAGGGCCTAAAGCACAGGTCTTATGAGGAGTGGCTGCAGGAACTGGGGTTGTTTAGTCTAGAGAAAAGGAGGCGAGACCTTATCACTCTCTACAACAACCTGTAAGGAGGGTGTAGTGAGGTTGGTGTCACTCTCTTCTCTCAAGTAACAAGTGACAGTATGAGAGGAAACGGCCTCAAGTTGCTCCAGGGGAGGTTTAGATTGGATATTAGGAAAAATTGCTTCACCGAAAGGGTTATTAAGCATTGGAAAAGGCTGCCTGAGGAAGCGGATGAGTCACCATCTCTGGAGGTGTTTAAAAGATGTGTAGATGTGTTGCTTAGGGACATGGCTTAGTGGTGGACTTGGCAGTGTTAGGTTAAGGGTTGGATTCAATGATCTTAAGGGTTTTTTTCCAACCTAAATGAGTCTATGATTCTACAATAAAGAAATACTCATGTCAGATCAAATACTGCCACTGTAGACAATTTTGTAAAGTCAGCAATACAGTAATCATTAATTTCATAGAATCATTAAGGTTGGAAAAGGCCTTAAGGATCATCAAGTCCAACTGTCAAACCACACCAACTCTCTCTCTCTCTCTCTCACACACACACACACACTCTCTCTCTCTCTTAAAAATTAATTCACTACACAATAGCTGTAGGAAAGAATTAAACGAACTGTAAAAATTTTATGTGCCTTCTAAAAAGATTCATAAGCAATTAGACTTGCAAAATAAGAAGGTATGGAAATGCAAGGCATTTTTAAGATATTGCCAAAACCCTTTAATATGTCAAAATAAAAATAAACAGAATGTATGGTTACTTTTCTTGAGTAATCTGAGGAAAACACAAATAATGAAAAATTAATTGCGAGTTTATTTACAGGAATTCACATTTTTACCTTTAAGAACACTACAGCAAATGGTATTTGTTCCTCTGAAAAAGTGATTTTTCAGATGAAGGCAAATAAACAGTAAGCACACTAGTTCTTGCACACAAAGAGCTACATACAAATGTTCTGAAAAAAAGTGCCTTGGAGTCAGAAGTCCAATATATAATAATATCTAATACCTAGTAGTAGACCTGCAAGTCCAATTTCTCGGTGTTGCTATCACAAACACTTATCACTCCTAACTTTAATATATTTTGAAATTTAGGATAAAATGTCACACTACTTTTTAGATAAGCTGTCACAAACTCCTCCGTGTGGCTGTGGGCAAGATGAGGAGGTACAGAATAGGTTTTCTTTTAGAAAGTCACGCAGGGCCAAATAATAATCCAAACATTAATTATCCCTTTTTTTTCATGGTACGAGCAGCTTTGGCACAAAGTTCCAGGGCTTTTTGTGTCTTGTTTTGATTTGTTTTTTTACATTCTGACATAATGATAGGGTTAAAGTGCATCATTAGAGACTGATTCCATCTTTGGCATTTATTAATTTATAAAAAGTTTAAATTACATGTCAATTGCAATAGTTTTGGCGACCTGGACACCTGTCTTAACTTAGACTACAAATTAATTCTGCACAGTTAATTTAGAACATTATCAGCTGTTCCCCTCTAATGTTTATGACTGATAGCATTAAGATGTTACCGGTTTCTGAATATGTCAAGTAATAGAGCTACCTTGCAGTAAATATATTATTAGAACAGAAATGTAAAATGGAACACACAGAACAATTACTGTTACCTCTGCATGCTGTTCCTTCTATTTTTTTAGAGAAACATAATTCAATTTGTATTTCTATTCAAACAACAAAAAAAAGCATACTTTTGAAATCTCCATCCCCAAATGTCAATGGATAGGCTCCTGGCTTTTCAATCTTGTACATTTCCTCTATAAAAAGGATTTTACAATCATTTATTGTGTCTTCTGGGCCTCTGAAAAACAAAAAAGTACATACAACTTAGTTCCTCAGACATAGATTCTGTACTTTACAAATCATAAGCAATGAGATGAAGCTAACTAGCAACCTTTTTTCATCATTGATAGGATACTTTATTTCAATTCACACACAAATTCAGTCTAGTACTGTAACTTCTAAGAAAACCAAAACACACATGTAAAACTTGCATAAAAAAAAGACTACTCCCTTGCCCTCAGACTACCTGACAGCTGAGTATCTCCTCACTGACAGCCATCCATAACTTTGTAGTTCTACTTCTAAAACTTCAAAATGTTTTTTTGGTTGAACACAGCAGATCCAACAAAATCATATCCTCTCACATGAAGCATATATAAAACATTTTCATAAAAGTAGAGTGTCAGAAATGAACCAGGAACACGACTTGTAAGACAGAATAATAGACACTACTTGGAACCCATAGAAAAAAGAAAAGCAATAGAAAGCTTCAAAAGCCCTTCTGTGGCATCTAAATGTTTTGGAAATCTAAAACACAATCCTGCAAAGACATGTACAATACTGAATTATGCACTGTGAGTAGTCTTGTCATTGCCAGATTTCAGTGCAAAGTCTGTTCTCCATATCCCACTGATGAGTAACAAATACTCCATGACTCCACAAGACTAATGATGAAAGACTTCTAGAGAAGGATTAGGAAATACTAAATGTACAGTAAAGGTTTTCACCTCCTCTCATTATAATCTCTTTGCATTTACTAAAAATCTAATTAAAATGTAAATTTATCTACGAAGAAAAGGCCATAAAAACACCAACAGTTTTAAACCACTCCTTTTTCTTCCCTCCTCAGGATGATATTGTGCTTTCTTGAACTGCCAGTTCTCCTACCATTTTCAGTTGACCACCTTATCTAGAACTAAGAATTCACCCGTATAACCCATACGGGAAGTATTAATTACTGAATGTAGACTCGCTGATTTAATTGCATCTCATAAGTCATTACTGATTTCAGAATTGAGATGTTTGACATCAGAGAAAGGAATTTACTAGCTAGAGAGCTTTATTTCTTGCAGAGTGAGATCCAGCCATTAAAAAAAAAAAAAAAAAAAAAAAAAAAGAAGAAGAAGAAAATCTGAAGATTTGGGTTTGTTGAACTTCTTTTCTTCTTCAAACTTTAATCTAATTCTGTTGCACTGCTGCAGTCCCTGTTTTGGTTCTACAACAACATTTCAAAATCTGAAACTACACAAGCAACTAAACAAATACAGATCACAAATACCATAGCTTGAATTATTAAGATTATAAAGTTAAATATTTTACAAAACTGTGATGTTTGTAGTTAAAATGTCCAGCGAGCATCCTGCAACACTAGAAATAAAATAAGATTTTTTTTTTCTTTCCTATATAAACATCAGATGTGCTGGACATAATAGAGAAGCAGTAGCACATGCTCAGGCTAATTCCAAGTTCG